TGATTCTCTGCGACATCAATATGCTACTAAATCACATTACAGGGGGATTGGAATATAAGCATACATATGCAGTTAGGTCTTAGCTATCACTGCTCTCTATTTTTTTCCCTCTTGTTTCATTTTCCCCCGCTCTCTGCTCGGTCTCTTTAGCCTGACTTGGCCCCTCTTTGCGTTTTTCTTCAAACCTTCTCGATTCTTGCTCCTTCCCTCTCGCTTGTCTTGCTCTTATCCAATCACAGAGCTTTCCAGAGGACTTGACACTGAGGTTATTGTATGCGAAAGATGATTCTCTCTCCGCTGGCACTGCTGAGCTCTCACGCAAACTACCACTCCCCCATGGTGATGCTGCCAAACTTACCGGCACTAACAGGTTATGACACACGAGTTCTATAAGCCGAAGATTTGGCTTTTGCTTTTAGAAAGAGGTGATTTTCTCTAGATTAGCCATGCAAAATGATATTATAATTGGCTGGAACTTTGATCTTACAAAGACAGAACAACCTGCGCTTTGAAATCACTTTGTCGCTTCAGGTTAAACTGTTGTTTTACTGAAGTATGTGGTGTAAAGTAAAAAAGGTGTCTGAATCAGAGGTTAGAGTCACTAGTGAATAAAGTTTTTGAACACTGGCCAAATGGGGCTTGTCTCAGGAGTGCCTGGCCTCTGCCTCTTCTCTGTCAACATGTATCAACTTACACCTTGCCAAGAGCAAAGGCTCAACCCTCACTATTCCCTCTCCTGTTTCACTTGCTCGCTCTCAATCTTCTCTGCTTTTAGGAAACTTTTTTGTCAGTGGGTGCCACTGACACTGACTATCTTTCTACTTTACTTGTTAAGAAGAAGACATTCGTCTTTTAACGGCTAACGATTATGAAATGACTTCTGTGATTTAAGATAGCTGACCTGAGTCAGCATACCATCACTCTAAATGTCTGTAAAGGTTCTCAGTCATCCAGGTCATCGTAGTCAAAGGAGCTTGCAAAGAAAAGCGTCTGGACTTCTTGAAGTTGCTTGAAGACGTTTCACCTCTCATCCGAGAAGCTTCTTCAGTTCTAAGGTCAAATGGTGGGGAGTCCCAGATATAAACCTAGTGGGAGTAACCCCCCACAGAGGGACAAAGGACCCCCTGATGATCCTCTACCTAATCACATGAGCCAAGGTGTGAAAATGGGTGTGGGAGGTGGCTCTTCTATGTTGTGCCATGCGCTTGTGAAGTGGCTGTTTGGTCTCTCCAATGTAGAGGTCTGGGCATTCCTCGCTGCACTGTACAGCATACACCACATTGTTAAGTTTGTGTTTTGGCGTTTTGTCTTTCGGGTGAACCAGTTTCTGTCTGAGCGTGTTGCTGGGTCTGAAATACACCGGGATGTCATGCTTGGAGAAAACTCTCCTGAGTTTCTCTGATACACCGGCTACATAGGGGATGACAATGTTGTTGCGTCTGTCCTTATCCTCCCTCGCTGGTGTCTGGTCTTCTTTTCTGTGCCTCTTTGCTGACTTTATGAACGCCCATTTAGGATAGCCGCACGTTTTGAGTGCTTCCTTTACATGTGTGTGTTCCTTCTTTTTTCCTTCAGGCTTAGAGGGAACACGTTCTGCCCGGTGGTGTAGGGTCCTAATTACTCCAAGTTTGTGTTCCAAAGGGTGATGGGAGTCAAAGAAGAGGTACTGGTCCGTGTGTGTGGGCTTCCGGTAAACTTCGATGTTGAGGTTGCCGTTCTCTTCAATGTGCACGGCGCAGTCCAGAAAAGGCAAACAGTTGTCCTTTGTGTCTTCCCTGGTGAACCTGATGTTTTTATCCACAGCGTTAATGTGCGCAGTGAAGGATTCCACTTCTTGTGTCTTGATTTTGACCCAGGTGTCGTCCACATATCTGTACCAGTGGCTGGGTACTCTTTCTTTGAAAGAGCCAAGAGCCTTCCTTTCCACTTCCTCCATGTAAAGGTTGGCTACAATAGGTGACACGGGGGAGCCCATGGCACAGCCATGTTTTTGTCTGTAAAAGCCTTCGTTGTACTTGAAATATGTAGTGGTGAGGCAGAGGTCTAACAGTGTGCAGATCTGATCGGGTGTGAAGTCTGTCCTGTCCTCCAAGGAGCTGTCTTCTTGTAGTCGTTTTCTGACAGTCTCCACGGCCTCCGTGGTGGGTATGCAAGTGAAAAGAGAGACTACATCAAAGGACACCATGGTTTCATCTGGATCCAGGGTAAGTTTCTGGACCTTGTCGGTGAAGTCGGTGGAGTTCTTGATGTGGTGTGGGGTGTTCCCCACGAGAGGCGCGAGGATGGTAGCAAGGTGTTTAGCAATGTTGTAAGTGGCTGAGTTTATGCTACTGACTATGGGTCTGAGTGGGACAGCTTCCTTGTGGATCTTAGGAAGTCCATAGATGCAGGGTATGGCATCCCCTGGGTAAAGGCGGTGATATGTAAGGCGGTCAATAATTTTGTCCTTTTCAAAGTCTTGAAGGCAAGCTATAACTATCACTCTAAATGTAATAAATGTAGTAATTCATTTAAAAAATCCCTGAGAAGGTGTCTGCTGTGTCTGACAGTCCCACTGAGAATCAGCATCCCTCCCTGCAGCTTTATGTAGTTTGTAGCACAATATTTCCCGTATTTCCAATATTTTCAGTCTATAAACTGCAGCAGCGTCTTCTTAAGTCCTCTTGTTTGACTTTATTTTGTATTTTTTTGTTCTCATGCATCTGTCAGATGCGTAAGATTTCTATTGTCATTGTCGTGGTCTCTGATCCTGGGTGTGTTTGGACTCTAAATTCTGGCTCTGTTTTGGTTGTAATCTGAGTTTTGATGTTTTGAGTCTTTGATTTAGAGCCTCTGGGTCTCTTCTTTTCTTAATATGCCTTCGAGTTTAGTTTAACTTTTGTATCTTTGTATTCTGGGTTATGTGGCGATGGTTTATTTTGATTCCTGGAGTTTTGGTTTGGGCAGCACTGTTATCACTGTTCCCTCACAGCAAGGAGGTCCTGGGTTTGAATTCATCATCCACTCAGGGCCTTTCTGTGTGTAATTTTGCATCCGTGTCTCTGTGGGTTCTCTCCGGATACTCTGGCTTCCACAGTCCAAAGACATGCAGTTAGGGGTGGTAGGTCAATTGGTGATTTTAAATTGCCAATGACAGGCTGGCGACTGGTCCAGGGTGTGTACTCCAGCATGCTTGAAGCTTAGACCTGACACCCATTAAAACATTTTGTTAAAGTATTCAACAAAAAATTAAGGTTTAATTTATTTGCACTCTATTTTATACTTTGTATTTTTAATTGGGTTACAGTGTTGAACTGTTGTCTGAGAGCAAGTGGGTCCTGGGTTCAAATTCACTGGCTGGATGTGGCCTTTCTGTTTGCATGTTCTCCCTGCCTGTAGTGGTACCCCAGCCTCTTCACACAGTCCAAAACATGCGTGTTAGGGTAACTGTTGATCCTAAATTGGAGTGAAGGTGTGAATGTGAGCGTCAGAGGTTGTCCATCCCTCTCTGTTAGCCCTGCAATAAATAGACTGATGACTTGTCCCGGGTGTAACCTGCTTCTTGCCCTATGACAGCTGGGGCAGGCTCCATCCCCCAGCGACGCTGGATAAGCCGATGGAAATGGATAGCTAGTGTCTGGAATTACTGCTATAGGTGGAGAGCAACAAAAAAGGCTGAAAAAAGAGCGACATGCAAAGGCCTTGGATTGTTTTTCACAGGGATACAAATTAATGTAGCTGTAAGGTCACTGCTATCCAATTCCCTAATGATACATTTGTAGGTGTATTGAATAAACAACAGCAACAAAATAAAACAAAAATCATTCAAACCCATTCAGATGTCTCTATGCTAAGGCTTCAATTATCTGTAATCCCCCGTTGTGTGCCAGCCAGACCGTCACAGTAGGGGGCGTATTGAGCTTTGCCGGTGGCATTCCCCATTGTTCTAACAACACTCTGCAAAACCACAGAGGCAAGCGAAGAGACCCCTCATCTGAAACTGAGGGTAGCGGGGTTGCTATAGGAACCACCGAGCCCATTAGGAAGCTAAGATTACCCAAGATAGTAGAGGAGGAGAAGTGATATCAAACAAATGCATTTATATGCTTTTATGTTCACGCGTGGCGTGGCGCACGCACGCACGCACGCACACACACACACACACACACACACACAATAGTGTCTTAATGCGTCAGGTTAAGAAGTGATCTCTACTACCTAGATGTGTTGATGCTACCAGATTGACTGAGGCTCACTCATTACCACTGTGTACTTTTCAAAGCCAAAAGCAAGCCTTTGATCTGCTTGTCTCTTCTGCTCTCTCCCTCTCTTCAGCCCATCTCTTTCAAATACATATCAACTACCCCTTTATTTTACTGCACTTTATTTCTTAGTCTAATTTTCTCACACCAACAAACACACCTTCGCTTCAGTTAAATAACTATTTTAATCATTTAGAAAAAAACTGCAATTTTGCTCTCCGACTTACATAGCAGAACAAGCCAACCTCTTATATGTTTTATATGGTAAATGGTAAATGGCCTGCATTTGTATAGCGCTTTTCTAGTCCATAGGACCCCAAAGCGCTTTACACTACATTCAGTCATTCACCCATTCACACACACATTCACACACTGGCGATAGCAAGCTACATTGTAGCCACAGCTGCCCTGGGGCGCACTGACAGAGGCGAGGCTGCCGGACACAGGCGCCACCGGGCCCTCTGACCACCACCAGTAGGCAAACACGGGGTTAGTATATGATCTCCGTAGGCAGGACACTTCCAAACATGATGCGCTTATTAAGCGACAGTTGAAAAGTTCAAATTTTCGCTCATTATACACACTTAATTGCAAATTTAATTTTCATCATTAACTACACAAGGTGAGCCAGAACAGACCAGAATATCATTTGAGATTAAATTAATGACATGCATCCAACGTTTGTAAGATTAAAAAAACCAGTGACAAATTCATTGGTGCCTCACCACACCCCTTGGATAAGTTTTTATCAGTACTCACCAATGAGCTCCTTGTTCCTGATGTCCAAAGCCATATTTCTGAGAGCAGTGGCGACAGCGCACACGACTTTGTCATTGTCTATCCTCAATAATTCCACTAGGATGGGAAGGCCTTTCTCCTTACGGACAGCAGCACGGATGTACACTGACCACTGACAAGAAAACACAAGTGGAAAGAGTTAGTGTTAACAGTGTTCACAGTGTTAACGTCCAACGACCATAAAGAAGGAGTATATTTACATTTAATCTTGCACAGGAGGATTTTAAATAAAAGTTAAACAGAAGAACACCAACAAAATAACAATTAATTAGTACCATGTTAAAAAAACAACAAAAAAAGAGACTGCAATGTGAAATTAGGATAACAGTGTTTTGCTTAATAAAATTGTCATGGGTGCTTTATATGAAATTGTTTACACCCCATAGATTTCCTTTGAGTAAAGTGGTTAGTGTAGGAAAAAAAAGGAAAGAGGCAGAAAGAGCTCAGTGGTCAAATGGGAGATGTTATATTCAGCAACTGACGCATTACGCTGTGTCACAAGTAATATACTGTGAGAGGGAGAATTATATGAACCAACCAGAGGAGTTTTAAGCCTGGAGACCTCTCTATCTTCCCTCAACAACTATCAAGGTACCCTCAAATGGGCCACTCAACCCTGAACAGCTCAAATGCATCTGCCTTATGGGTCAATTGCAGACAATTGGGGAGGTACTGAAATGCCCAAGAATCGGTAGAAGTGGTTGAAGTGTGAGGCTGAAAGTTTCTGTCACTTTTATAATTGATCTTTCCACAGCATGTAAAGGTTAAAACACAGTTCTGTTTACAAACGGTGTTTCTTCATATGATCATTTTAGGAAATATTTTACCCTTGGATTGAAATGATCTTTGGTAAGACTTACGTGGGCAGAGTTTAGTGTGCCAACACTAATTCTTCACAAACTGATAGCAGCTCTAATTTAATTATAAGAATACTGACAATGAAGTTAAAAACACAACAGGAGAAAACAGAACAATACATGCATGTAAACACACACGCACACACACACACACACACACACACACGTTCATACAGTTAGGCTCTTGTAAAATAAACGCAACACAAAAAGTTATGAAAATTTGTGTTTGGTTGATTATTTCTTTGTTCTAAGAGTGCTTCTTGGCAATAAGTCTTACACTGTTGGAAAGCTTGTTTATTCTCCCTTAAATGGTGCCACATTTGTAAGAAAAATGCATTTGTGGGTTGAGCAGTAGAGTTGAGCGTGTGGGTTGCACCCATGAAAAATTTGCAGTCTTTTCTGCTTAAAACATTTTACTCTGCTATTGACACTTTCCTGGATTTCCTGTATTGAATGATTAAAGGATGAATAAACACGACACATTGGAAATTTAATAATGTATTCACTTAACAACAGACTAGCACGTGGAAGAACCACACAGAGCCATAACAGCCTTGCACCTCAAACTCATGCTGGTCACCAGTTTGGTTACACACTATTGTGGGATGGCCTCCCATTCTTCAAACAGCATTTGTTGCAAGTCATCCAGCGTGGCTGTGTTGGTCACTCTGGCATGAACGGTGAGCAAAAGCTGATCACATGAGTATTCAGTGGGGTTGAGGTCAGGACTGGAGGCAGGCCATTCCTTCATCTCCACTCCCAAATTCTGGAGGTAGTCTCTTATAAACCACACTCTGTGGGGGCGATCGTCGAGGGTATTCTTGGAAGAGTTCAGTCCCAGACTGCAGCGATATCTTCTCTGCACTTTGACCCTACAATCCAACTGTTGTAGGAAGAATCCTGACTGATCACTGAACATAAAATTCACCCACATGTTCAGGTGTTAGCAACATGCACTGATGTCAGCACATGTTCCCTAAACCAGTGCAATGAAGGGCAGTCATTGCAGGCCTTCTGGCAACCCTATGAGACCAGAGATTGGCAGTGTGCAGTCTGTTCCAGATAGTCTGGGTAGAGAGCTGTCAACCAAATGGTCCTGAGAGACAAGACTACAAATCTGTAGAAGACTGCTTATGTGCTGACGGGGTGAGGAAACAGTCTTCTTGTGGTGTTCTTTTCTTGAGACACCAACTTCACGGCCTGTCTCCAAAATTCCCTGTTATATGGAACTTGGCCTAACTTGAAGATGGCGCTAGGCCTCACTTGAAGCTGCCCTATGGCACAGGTCCCATCCAGATCAGTCAAATGTGGAGTGCTTAGAGCAGACACCAACTGACCGCTGTAGCAGTGTCCTTGCTCACAGGTGCTGACAATCAGGCACCTGTTTGTCAGCACCTGGGTACCACAAGCTCAAAACAAAGAGTCAATAACATCAACTCGGATTTTCAACCGGATTTTCCTTACAAAGTGGCACCATATAAGGGGAAATACACTGGCTTTCCAATAGTATAAGATTTATTGCCAAGAAGCATTGTTACAACAAAGAAAAATCTACCAAATTCAAGTTTCCTTACTTTTTGTGCTGAGTTTCAAACGTGTGATTCCCTTAAGACAACCCACCCCCATCATTTCCTTCTCCTCCTCCACCCTTGATTATTCTAGAGACCCCCTCTTCTATACCTGTCATGCTCCGACTGTCTGTCTACTCTACTGTCGATGGAAATACCAATTCAAAATGAGTTACAAACACATCCCATACACATCTACAGGTCCACTGAAGCATACTCTCACAGTGTCTCCCCTGTCTGTCACTCCCTCTTGAGTTCATATTTTCATAAACTGCATTTTTTGGATCAAATAAATACTTCCATTAAGTTTCTCACATAGTCTATTTATGACCAACAATGTCTGGCGCAGTTTTTATTTTTATTTTTATTTTATTTTATTAAGGTCAAGCTAAGATTATACCCACACACTTTCTGCCTTTTACCCTTATATAAACCTCCCTCAAGGCTACAGCTGCCCCCACCAGTGCTCTCCAATATGACATGACTCATACATTATTACCATTTAGCTGCCTCCGTTGGTTGCCTGTTGTTGAACCCTGGCTCTACTCCCTGTGTGTACAGGTTTGGAGCATTTACATTATTAAAGTAATTACATTCCTACTGAGCAACGTGCAATACTGCATTACATAGAAGACATAAAAACACGAGACCGAACTCAAAATATTTTAAAGTCAGCAGGATGCTGCAGTGAGCAAAAAGATTATTAATTCAAAAGAAAATTACCTTTTTTTTAACCTATGTGGTTATGGAGGCAGAAGACTTTTCATAGGTTTTGCTGCATTTGACTGTGTACAATGAAGCTCTTGGCACCAGGCATGCATATTCACACAGTTTACTTGCACACGTTCAGCTTATACATGCATACTTAAGTATTTTGACCAACATATAATGTGAATGTGCACATTTATCTATGTTTTTTCAGAGCACAAGACCTGTGTACAATTAGTAAAGTGTGTCTCTGCATTCACTGCACAGCCACTGTGTGTTAGGACAAGCTAAACACATCTGCACTTGCAGTTGTATACTCATCTGTGGTTGTATAATTCGACAATTTATATTTGACAAATATAATATAACAAGGCAAACAATTTTGAAAAGCATCTCAAATCTAGCATTACCTTCCAGCTGCCTGCAGCCAGGTTCTGCAGAGCCCCAGCTGCACCCTCTAGAGTGTCAGGATTGGAGCATTCAGACAGCAGGGTGAGGTAGGGCTTGACGATGGTGGGGTGCCACAGCATCTGAACTCCTTTGGGGGGCTCCGCCGTGTCGGGAAAGGGGCCCACGCCATCCCACTGTGAGAGATGAGACAGAGTGAAATAGCTTTTTTTATGTTCATTTATATTCATGAAGAAATACTTTAAGGAAACCGTTAACTCCATTCTCACAATCACATTTTGTTTTACCCTTTAGGAAACTTTTTACTTTATTTAAAACCAAAAAATAGCACCACTTCAGTGTGGTTGAACATTTTAATGACATTTTTCACCAATTCTAGGAGAAATAAGCGACTGTGAAATCGTAGGATGTTCCTTTTTCTGTTCTTCCATGTAAAGCTTACAGTGATTCTATAAAAACCTGCATAAGAAATCTGAATGAACTTGCTTTTGTATCTAAACACATTTTTTATGTCGGAGTGACTGAATTCACACGAGAAAAGCGAAATGCACTGCCCCTGGTACACCCTGACCTATTAGAAAAATTACCGAGACACTGAGTAAATCACTCCTTGTCAGCTTAAGAATCGTGATGGATGGATGAATAGCGATAAAGGTGTTGAAGGGCTTAGATAGAAGGGAGATGCATGATCTGAAACGACAGTGAGAGCTGCAGAAGGAGAAGACACTATGAGAGAATGTCTCACTGCTACATTTGCTTTGAGCAATAAACATAAAGCTTTACAGCTAGCTCTCACTTCATCTTTGTCTTTTTTCATTACAGAGGAGCCTTTCTTGATGTCTGAACTTCTTTGTTGGCTGACATACCCACACCTTTTTCATGTAGGCATACACCAGCATCTTTCTCTCTCGTTTTCTCTTCCTCTTAATTCTCTCTTGCATGTCATTTATATCTTTCCCTGATTTTTCCTCCTTCTAATTCTTCTTCTCTCTCTCTGCCTCTCTCTCCTGATTTCTCTGTCTCTTTCTTGCATGCTTGACCCTTTTTCCTAATTTCTTATTCTGCTTCCGTCCCGCTCTTTCCAGTTCTCAGTTTTTCCTCTCCCTATCGACCTCCTCGGTTTCGCTCTACTGCATCGTCTCCTCTTCTTGTCTCAAGGTAAACCAAGCTAGTGTATATCTTGAAAGAAGCACTGTGGCATGTGTGTGTTTGTGTGCAACTGAGTGTCACTATCTGTTTTTATCTATGTACAGATTCGATAAGAAATCATAAAACTCAAAGCGCAGATTAAAGCACTACACAAAGGAGCATCAGATGATTCACAATAGCCATTCTACATATTTAACACACATATATGTTGCTAAACGCCCTAAAATAGCATTTTAAAATACATTTACTTCAGTATGGTGTTATTAACCTTTTCATCTTGGACTTCCTGTTTTGAGTATTTGCTTATTTGCATCTCTGATGCAAGCTGGATCTCCTCCACTGTGTGAAAATGTTTTATCTTCAACTTAAGTTTTACTTTGGAGAAGAGGAGTGATTTGTGGGGGAATAGAGGGTTCGGTGAATAAGATGAATGAAGAAAAAAGAATGTGTTAGTGTGTCCAAAAACATCTGTGCCAACTTTTCTCCCTGAAATGTGTTTGGATGTTGAAGAAGAACTCCTCGATCACAGCCTTCCCCCTGGGGGAAAAATTCACAGTGCAAAAACCCTGTGAACATCAAGGAATAACAAGCATGCTGGCCCGCTGCCTTGTCTACAGGCTTGAACATATTTGCTTTTTTGAGAAAGTTTGAGGTCCGTGCTAATCCTGCAGTACAAGTGGTCAGACCTGCACTACAATATCAATTCAAATACATCAGAAACCCTGAAAGCAGAGCAGCAATACAATAGGAGAAACCCTTAGCACAATTAAATCAGGTGTGCCTTTTATATATCAGTTATTTAAAATACATTAAAAATGAAGTCATATAGTCAGACTGCTAAATACCTAAAAAAAATGCCAATTACACAAAATATCAACAATTCCAGGAAAACATTTTCCAGTAGTTCATTAGGATTGTTTCGGTCAAGTTCAGGCTCCCTGATCTTCCGATCTTAACTTGTTTTCTCTATCTCTCTCTCTTGGCTTCAACTCTAGACTTTCTCAGTCTGTCAGCCTCCCACTAACTACTATCCCTGCTTCATTTTCATAGGGTTTTATAGTGTATACCTCTGGGGTTTGACCTTTTGCTACTTCCCATTATCTATCCCTCTATTCATCAGTGTGTATTCCCTCCTGGCAGTACTGACTGCTTTGCTTTGATGGTTGAAATTTGGCTTCAAATTCTTTTCAAATTTAGTTTACTAATATTTTCATTTCATTTAAACACAGCTTTGCCAGAGCATTGAATGGATCATCAGTGGTCAGCAACAAATAAAATAGAGACATATTCTTGATATTTAGTTTGGTTTGGGCCTCAAATTCACTTCTGGTCCATCCGGTTAGCTCTGAAAGATGTAAGTAAGGTCTGTGTTTGCATACTTTAGGCCTGTGTCTGTGTTTAGGTCTTTAGGAAATTAAGAGAAGCTGAGTGTTGAAGCCTTTAAAGGAAAGTTGAGGTCACAAAGACTCAATTATATATAAAGTTAAAGAGCAGAAATACCTCACACAAGCCAGTTAATTTGAAAAGAAACCAATGCTTTTCAGATAACCTTGAAGAGAAACTGATCTGCATTTAACTGCAGATCCCTGCTGAAAGGGATGTGTGGCAGGTTTCAGACATTCAATTTATTTAAAAAAAAAAAACTTTTTTAACTTGCTCACATCATCTGATTAGCTCCTATTTTCTGTGTCTTTACCTGGTCAGCTCCCTTCTTTTTCTTCTTCTTCTTGCCCCAGCAACCGGAGCTCTCTCCATCGCGACCATTGGCATCACAAAGCAGGCCATCCAGCTCTTCCAACCCCCCTTGCTGACCATGAGATGTCTCAGCAGCCAGTCGGTATGACAGGTTCCTCAGGATGCAAACACAGTTCTCCACAGTCTGCGAACAGAGCGAGATGGGAGAGATGAAGGCGGAAGAGAAGGTGGGGAGAAATAAGATGAGATCAATAAAGGGAGAGGTTTAAATGGGAAAAAAAAAAGGTTCAGATTGAAGATTTGTGTTTGATGCCATTTAATGAAACATCTCGCTTGAAAACACCGAGCAAACTCAAATTCAAAGAACGGTAATAAAAACCACCCACTCTCTCACTTTTACACTATCAGCCTTCCACCCGCACTCAGGAGCCAGACAGATGGAGAGGGTGAAAGACAGGGAGGGGGAGAGGGAAAGGAAAGAACAACAATAATCTCACAAGTAATATTCTTCTGCATATTGTTAGCTCTGACTTTGAAATGAGATTAGCAGAAACTCAGGTAAATGAGGAAAAATGACAAACCCAATATATTATATCACACCCCATTAAACATGAAGTTTCGAGGCTCACCCAGTAGCCAGAGAACATGCGTGTACTCTTGAGTCTGAAGGAAAGCCGATTCTCTAATAGTGTATATTGTCTCTTCTTAAGTGTGTGTGTTCTGTTTTGTTTCTTTAACTGATTGTGTGCACTTGCATACGTGTGCGTCGCTGACAAAGGGGAGACATCAAGTCAACAGAGTGGAAATTAACAAAGACAAATCATCAATCTTCACTCAGTCTGACTGTTGGTTTAGACAAAAACAACTAAGGAGTGTAATTGAACACCCTCAAGAGATGCTGCAAACAAAACAATGTCTCACTCCAGTGAGCTGCAGTCATATTTGAAATTCTATTCTCACGTTATTATGGAGCGATGTAGGAGAAGTTACACTTTATTTACAATTTGCTGTGACATTTTGGATTTCGATCTATTATTTCACATTTCTTCCGTACCCTTTTGTTTCTAGGTGCACTGTGCAGGGAAATTAAGTTGACAGGTAAACGGATTCTGTTATATGTCTTGTCAAAGCAGGAAGGTCAGAGGTCAGGGCCAGTTACAGATCAGCACCTCTACACCTGGGTGGGATTTACGGTTCTCTCAGGAACACAGAAGTTATGCACTCCAAACTGTGACAGGAAACTTTTGTAACACCAAAGCTAGAATTCATTGTTCTTGTATTTATGACCTTTATGCACTTTCCAGCCTAGAGTCTTAGAAGCTGGAAGTCCACACATAACAACCATCCAGTAAGCTTCCCTATGCAATGAGACACACTAAATGTAGGCTGTTAAATCTCAATATTATATATTAGCATTATATTGGCTGTGTATGTAGAATGATGGGTCTAGTCTATTCAGTCTTGCACCATCAATTTCAATTAGTGTGTCTGCTAAGTTAATTGACTCCTGGCAGTGTGCTATTATATAGTGGGAAACCTGATTAAATGTCCTTAAAACTTAATTGCTTCTGTGCCTTGTGTAGAGCAGAATGGCAGTAATCTAGAGATTTTCTTTAGTGCTTAAGCTATGTCACATGATATATCTATAGTGGCCACTCCTCAGATCTAATGTTTCTCTGTCCACAGTTATTGAACACGTCACGAGCAGAAGTCCATGTTGAAACAGTTCAAATAGAATCAACACCTATAGCTTTAACAAAGTGTTGCACAGAGGGCAAAAAAACAGAAAACCTATTATACAGGCACAATATAAAACATTAAAAATCAATTTTTAATCATTCACAGGAGGTCAAAACCTCCAGAAATGTAGCATTCAGTGTTAATGTTTGATGTTAACTAAAGGTAATGTGTTGGCTCTATCCTTGCCCAAATCAGCTTTCTTTAACTATTGTGCTGTACGTTGTAGTAATTCAAAGCTAAGTTATAAGAACACGCGCCTGCATTTCAGCAGTGCTGTGGTGACATGGATTATGTGATGGTATATTTATTACACCATCACATCACTGTGAATCCATAACTAAGATCAGTAAAGGCATATCTACCGAACCACAGAGTTTGTAGTTAAAAACAATAACAAGCTATATTACATTGTGCTCTGATTTTCTATCTTTAGTAACAGAAAGTTGAAATATTAACATTTTAATGGAAGTCAAAAGACATTTGGGGATTCAGCATTATTAGTCATGTTTAAATGATTGGTGATAACAACAGTTTTTTTTTTCTATATGTAAATGGTAAATTGTTTTAAAAGTGAAGAGACAATAGCTTCGTTTTATTTAGTCATAGTAACTGTAGATTCTGTGCAGGCCATTGGTTGGACAATTGCTCAATAAGAGAACCCATTCATAGTGTCCAAAGACTTACGTTATGAGATGTTATCAAGCTGCCTAAGATAGCTGACATCGTTCCGGTCTTAAAGAAAAAGACTTACTCTTACAGTGTTGTCTGAACGGCACAGTTATTTACCCCGGCAACAGTGTTGCAACAGGGACAGGTTAGGAAAGACACTGTGCACCTTTATTAATTATTTTCATTTCATCCACTTTCATTCATATTATTCTAGTAAATAAGAGACACTGATCACCCATCAATACAAACACAATAACAGAGTCACCTTGAAGCAATACCTTAATCAACAATATGTTTTTTGTATATGTGGGTTCTTCAGTTACATGCATGGTCCTACTGTGCAGCATCGATCATAATTGCATATTATTATCTTTTATATTTGATGAAATTCCTCATTATTAATGGTTTATAAAATGTAAATTTACAGTTTTGACTTCAACAGTCCCATACAACCATATCTATATCTGCTTATTCTCACGCCCCCTTTACTGTATTATCTGTGTTTGTCACCAAATATTTGCAGATGTTCAAAAAAGGTTTATTAAAGCACAAGGACATCGTGAGCAAACAGAGTGCATCGTGATTAAATTATTTATAAGTTTAAAAATACATACTCTGAAGTAGTAACTTGATTATGGAACTGCAAATTCTACTCTTTGGAGAATAAATATGTAAATGAACGTGTAAGGTCACCGGCCTATTATCTGAAGCTCGAGTGAAATTTGGTCAATGTAGCAAGACAGTAATCCAAAGCAGAGGTTTTAAAATGGCCTGGTTAAAGTTGAATCTTATTTAAATGCCTTAGCAGGAATTTAACTCTACAGTCCATGCTTGAAAGAAGCTCTGTGTGACGTGTAATTTAAACAATTCTGCAAAGAAAAGTGAACCAAAATTCCTCTACAGCAAGTTCACCCACTGTAGGTACTAGACATGTTTGGTTGTAGCTGCTGCAGATAAAATAGGCACAGTCAGTTGTGTTTAATGGATAATACTGTTTTAAAGGGGTTATAGTTTCCCTAAGTAAATGTTTGCACTCATGCACTCAACTTTATTTTAAGATCTGAAATGTGTGAAAAATGCACAAATACAAAGGACATTTACAACTTTTGCTGCCAGCCACTTTAAAATTTACGAATATGACCCTGTTATGCTACTTGAACAGTGCCTGCTGTTGTGTCTTATGGGATCAATTTTACCAAAGTAGTCAAAATAAATAGATATATTTTTTAGTATTTCAATGGCAGGCCAAGACTGTTCCAACTCAACAAGCAGATAGGGAGGAAAACATAGTCTGCACAGAGCAGGTGAGAAAGGGAAAGGCAGACAGTGTACCAAATGAGCACATGGCTAATGTGTACCGCTACTGCAACAGCGACCGCTTGGTGGTTTCTCTGCCAATCAGTCTTTGTTACTGTGGTGGCAGCAGTCCTCCTCTGGTGACTGCAGTTAAACAGTGGAGAAGGGCGGGCAGTTAAACAGTGATTAAGGATAGCTATTTAGAAAGGCTGGGAGTCAGGGAGACCTTGAGAAGTCAGCCATCCACAACACTGTTTATGTACAGTAGTATTGACTGGCCCACACGTACTGCCACATGAACACACATACGTACACTGCACGCCAACATGAACATGGCCTCATACAGAAAAAAGCAAAGTGAACCTAAACCTACTCAACTTTGACTACTGGCAGAGCTTAACTGGCAGGTAGAAATGTTGCAATACTTTGAATCTGGGCGTTTTAATTTGCCCTAAAGAGTTCATATTGATGAGCTGAACACTTGCTGAAAACTAAAACTTTTCTTCCTTGTGGCTACTGGCAGTGAAAAGAGGTGCAGTCATTTGTTTTGTTTCCTCCTGTGTGCTAAAAAGATTTCTGCAGTTTGTGCCTGTCTGTGATAAAAGGAGGATATGAGACACTTTGTAATTTAGCCTGAAAATGAACAATTTAAGTTACAAACACAAGCTAAGATTTTCAGAGTCGCACCTTGCTGTCGATCTCATTGCTGCCCAGAGAGGTCTGGATAACGTAGAGCAGAGCATCTGTCAGCCCATCACACTCCCTCATCCTTCGTCTCGCCTCCTCACCTGCTGAGCTTACGTTCCTGCAACACACACATGACAACAACTGGTTGGAGAGTGTGCTTTTCTCTGTATATGCTTATGCGTTTGCCAAATACACGGGGAAAGAAAGAGAGCTGATTGAGGAGGGAAGAAGAGACAGGATGACAGATGAAAGAAAAAGAAAGCTGGTAATAAGAGCTGTGTAGAGGCAGAGGGAGAGAGAGAGAAACAGATACTGGGGAACCTGGCACTTCTCCCTAAACTAAACAATTGAAAAAGGAGCATTAAAATTCTGGCTACATCTCAATCTATGCCCTGAAGGCTCACTTCAATTTAAAGCACTTGACTTGAGTCCAAAAAACGGGAAAGAGAAAAAAGAGCCACTTTAGTCAGACAGTTGGTGGCTGAACTTCACAGCCAACAATCACACCAACGCTGCTTTGATAATTTGACAATATTGTTCAGTATATTATTAGCAGCTTTGCCAATATGATGCACAGAAATAATGAATTGAATTTTGATTGAACTGGAAGTTCAGGTGGGCGTTGGGCTGGATTTGTTTGGGTTTCATCAAGGAACTGCCTGTGATACAGAAACACTTTGTACGAGACAGTGACTCATTTGTCTGCATTAATAAAATAGAAAATGAAACTGAGGTGAGCAGCATGAGCTAAAATTTATATTATACTTGCCTGAAATAATCACTTTAATGCTCAGTTCACACTAAAAAAACAAAACAAAAAACAGCACATCACGAAACTTTGACACAATCTAGCAAATGTCCCACATTTTGGCACTCAAGATAAAATCAGATTTAGAAAAGCAGAGAAACAACATGCAAAAACAACAACAACACAAAGACAGACACAAGAACATAATGAAAAAGAAACTGATTTTAGGTGACTCATTATTAGCCACAGACCAAACTGCACAACAATTACATTGCAGTGAGTCACTGCAGTGCAGGCAGATTAATTATGAAGTATAATTTATGTAAATTCAGTATAATAAACTTCTATTAATAACACATACTCCATATCATTTCAGGCCTTCAGCTATACACTAACAGAAAAAAGTTACCAATGCTGACAAATAGTGTTAGAGTCACAATCGGTTTAGCATGTGTGTAGCTGTCGGTAGGTGACAACGTATGAGACAAACATCGATTTCTACTTTCTACTTCTATTTTTGACTGTGAAGGTTCTCAGTCATCCAGGCCATAGTAGTCTAAAGAGCTTTGAAAGAAAAGCGTCTGGACTCTTCAGTTCTAAGAGCAACTCCCATAGAGCCCTATGGGAGTGTCATGGACCCCCTATTGATCCTCTGTCTAATCACACAAGCCAAGGTGTGAAAAAGGTCACAATCAGCCAAGGTTTTGGGTGAACCCACTGTAAAACCTAGCCCCATCATATCATGTGATTTAGGCTACGTCCACACTAGCCTGGTTAGATTTGAAAACGGCGTTTTCTTCTGAAAACGCTTCGCGTCCACACTAGAGTTTTCAGTTGTTTTCACAGAGTTGCTCGTCCACATTGAAACGTCCGAAAATGCTTACGTTCCACTACTGCGCATGCGTGAAACGAATTTCTGTCTGCCGCTTATTTACTTTCCAGCTCTTTCAAAAGTCGCGGCAAAATGTCGAGGAAAAGCACAGAGTTTTTTAAATAGACTAACAATGAGGTGGAGTTGTTGCTGCGAGTAACACAAAAGTACAAAGTTGCAAAAGCGAGTGAGAGTTAAAGAATTTGAAGAAAAGCTATCTGGAGCTTGTACAGACTGATATTAATCTTTAATAGGGCTGTCAAAATTGAGAGCAAACAAAACAACTGCTGTATAATGCCCTCCGCTATCTTAGTTTAATTGGTCACATGACTGCATCATATGACTAATATGCGTCATCGTTTTAGAAAGTGTTTTTGCTGTCCACACTGCGACGCGAAAGCACCGTTTTCAAATGTATGCATTTTCGAGAGCGTTTTGAAAACGCTGCATTTTCCATGAGTGAAAACGCCGTCTCAGTGTGGACGGGAGGCTAAAACGGAGAGAAAACGATGCACTTTTAAACAAAAACGCATTAGTGTGGACGTAGCCTTAATGAGGTCAGAAGGCCCAGGATGTAAGTGGGGATCTCAAAACTGGATTATAGATGGCAGACAGTTGGTCGTTCACAGTGGATATAGATGTCTTCTTTCACTCCTCTTTCAAACCATCTTTCTTCTCTGTCCAAAATGTCAACATTGGCATCCTTGCAGGAGTGACCCTTGTCCTTAAGATGCAGGTGAAGAGCTGTTACAATGAAACCATTTGAATATTGGCTTCTGTGTTTCTTCACTATATGTATTTACTGGTTGTTACAAAGCAGCTCAGTTACATGATAAATCAACACATCTACATACATTCAAAGCCACCAAATCTATAGTAGTTTCACACTCAATATCTGTGTTTGGAAAATGAGCATGACAGATCAAAATAGTGCTTTTAAAACATTTACGGTTTGGTGTTCTCTTTACTATTGACTTTACTATTATTATGTGTTGACCTGCAGAGAAGAATAGGTATTTTATTCAAGAAAAGATCTGGCCAAACACATAAATTTAACAAGAGGATGTGCAACAACCCCTTTTAACCGCTGCTGTCAAGGTTTATGTTTAAACAGTTATATAGACATAGTACAAAGATGATCCACATGGCAGGTGTCCCAGCAAAAAGCCTTGGCTGTTCAAAATAGAAAAGGAAATACGTTTTGCGAATGAAGACCAGATCCACTAGAATGACTCACCCTGGTCAAAAGTTTTCTGGTCACAGTAAGAGCAGACGCACAATTTAGTGCAGACTAAATTCAAAAATCAAATACCAAATTCAGCTTTTAAGGAGACCAGGCAGCTTGTTGTCATGGATTCAGTTATGAATTCTAGATCAAATATTTAAGTAATTTAAGATAATGCAAGGCCATCTGGAAGTCTAAGTTTCACTGAAATCTAATCTTCACACAAGGAAAGCACACTTGCAAACAGACCCAGAAATGACTCTAAAAGAAAAGCTATGGAATATTTAAAGCACCTTTAATGCACCTGCACAGTTTTCCAGCCACAGCTAATCAACAAAAAAGAATGTGCTATTAAGTAAAATGACCTGTATTTGTATAGTGCTTTACTTAGTCCCTAAGGACTCCAAAGTGCTTTACACGTTCAGTCATCCACCCATTCACACACTGGTGATGGCAAGCTACATTGTACCCACAGCCACCCTGGGGCGCACTGACAGAGGCCACCGGGCCCTCTGACCACCACCAGCAGGCAACGAAATGAGACAATACCTTCGTATAGTTTGAGCTTCTTCAAGTTCATCTATCATAGTGCCATAATAAAGAGATCACTAGTCTAGGGAATGAGATCTTTCAAATATTGCACTGATGAGAAAAGGAGAAAAGAAAGGGAAAGACACAAGAACTCAATTAAAACTTCACGTTCACGGCTCCCTGCTTCCAAGAGAAGGTCAAGTCATTTTCACCCTCTTTGAATGCTAATGGGCAAACAAGCACACGATGGAAATGCCGCTTAACGGAGAACTATTCTCTGTCAAGTTGATATAAAACAACATAACAGTGAAAACACTTCACCTTGACTAATGTTTAAGCAGCAAAGACAGGCGGAAGGTGGGTGAGAAAGAGGGAGGGTGAATTATTTACTGCTTTAACACCGGCTTTAGCCTTGAATATGTCGACTTCTACAGAGATTTGCATCATGTTCTTTTATATGATGCCTCGTCATGAGTGGAAGAGACGACACTTAGCAATGCAACATGAATGTTTTATTGAGAGCTTTTATAATATTAGGTTTTTAGCCTGCATACATATATAATACAAAGGTAGATGCTTAAGCAAGCAATGATATGCGATCACACGTTTTCATAAGCCCGTCACACTCCCTCATCCTTAAGCCAGTAGCATCTAATGATGGACCCTCAACTATACAATATTTTGGCTTTGCAATTATAAATGACACATTTTTCATGATGTTCAAGAGGTCGTCAGGAAGGAAGCGCTAACTAACGATTTCCAGGAAAATAAAGCAAATGTTACTCTTCACATTTCAGTTTCTTCTGGGTACACTGCCAACATCATTCCATATTTACCTTGCCATGTTTACAGCTGTGCGCAGCTGAGTGAAAAAAGAAGCTCTTAAAGGCTAGACCATAAAAAAGAAGTTTCCCACATTTTTGTAGTTTATGAAATACTAAGATGATCAGACCAGACTGTCATTTTTATAAGTATACGGTTATCTCCTATATACTTTGCTTAATAGCATTTGTATGTCTGCTATTTAAAGGCCTTTGCACATGGATGGGTTCAAGTATGTGTGTAGTTTGTGTGTAACTCTCTGCATTTGTGTTATGTGCACATGTGCCTGTTAATCTAGTGGTAATGAAGCATGACGTATTGCACCATTCTGCAACACACCTCTTCTTAGATATAATTTAGTGAGACAACAGTGAGGTCAGAATTTCTTCAGCAGAAAAAAAGCATTTTATTAAATAATAGTTTGATAGATTAGATTTAAACCAACTTGTTTGTTTTAACCAGTTTCATAGGGACGCTGGTAACATAATATATGTACATGTGCATTACACACGGTAAAACCCTTTGCATGAGCTTCAGAAAACACTAAAGTGAAAGAAAAGGTTTTCTATTACGTGTGTGTGTGTCTGCTTAAATTTAACCAGTAATCTCTACTATTTAGTGAGTCCATTACAGGTTTACAGTTCATCCTATCTGATGTCACTCCTCATTAATTTAGCCTAACTCATTAGCCTGCATCATTAAATAATTACCTACTGAGCAAAAAGACAGAACTTGATTAAGCATCCCATTCAAACTGTTAGCTGCAGTGAAGTAACAGCGTAGTTCGTTTAGTGGCAGTGCCAAACAAGCACGACATTTGACTACTGCAGCTCAAAATATTTGGAAAAACTCATTGTTTGCTGGTTCTAGTTACGGCAACATTTCCATTAACCCTTTACAGCCGATCGGAGCGGGCACGCT